AACTTACCTAGGATGATGATTTTTGTGGAAGAACCTCCTTGAAATGTTCCAAGATCTCGAAAATTTGAATGGAGAAGATGAAGCTTTTCTAGAGAGAGTGTGTTTGAAAGAGGTTGATGAAATATGTGTGTGTGTGTGTTGTGATCTTCGGCCGTGAGTAATAAGAAGAGGGAGAAGAGAGATATAGTGAGTTGACATGCATGGAAGTATGGGAAATTATAGCATTGTTACATGTTGAATAATAGGAAGGTGGCATTTCCTAGTTAATTCTCCCCACCATTCTTCTCGTTTTCATTTTTTTTTGTTTTCTACTTGGGCCGAGAGAGAGAGAGAGAGAGAAGGAAGAGAATGGCTTGGGCCTTTTGTGCTTGAGTCCATAATATGAGGCCCTATTTGATAATTTTCGGCCCATTGGGCTTTTAGAGTAGTTCACGGCCCAATTTAGCATAAAGGAATGGATTTGAGTCTATTAAAGCTATTTGGATTTGTTATGGCCCAATAAGGCACATTAAAGGTAAACTAGTCCATTTTAGGCTTATAAGGCCCAAAAAGGTTAAGTCTTATGAGAGTGGGTCCAATGAGAGCCCATTTAAGAGTTCTAAGCCCAAAATAGTCACATTGGAAGTTTATTGGCCCATTAGGCCCAATAAGGAAATCCTAGTCCATAATGGACTTAAATCGGGATTTCTAGGGTTTCCAACCTTTTGTAGACTATTTGAGCGTTTGTATGGAGTGTTTGATGGAATTTGTTGTCATTGAATAAGCATCATACATGCTTTCAAGTTTTAGTTACAATGTTATCCTTGTTAATTGTTTACAAAGCATCAGAATTCCTAGTTGTGACAGTCTGAGAGGAGAAATCAGACTTTACTTGATATGGTTCTGTAACATCCCAAAAATCATGACCAAAAATTTCATTTTTTATATAATAATCATAAAACAATTTTAAGAAAACATCATCAAGTTATTTCATTTCATCAAAGCTAAAGATCATATGTCTCAAAAGCATGTCATAGTATAGTAACAATGTCAGAGAACAATCCCAAGAACATCATAGTGCGGAAAATAGTGGTGTGATGTGCTGCCGTGTCGACTCCTTTCCCTGCGAAGAAGAAGGACCTGAAACAAAAAATATAAACCGTAAGCACAAAGCTTAGTGAGTTCCCCCATCATACCACATAACATAAACACATAATGCCTATTCCTCGGTATCTTTCAACCGGTATCTGACTGGCATAACCGAAAGGTGGACTACCCTTCGGTATCTTTCAACCGGTAACCGAGAGCTGACCTCCCATTCGGTATCTTTCAACCGGTAACCGGGAGCTGACCTCTCCTTCGGTATCTTTCAACCGGTAACCGGGGACTATTTCACCCCTACCACTACCACATAATAACATAACATGAACATACTGCTAGGCATGCATGGGTACTGTCTACCCCTTCGGTATCTTTCAACCGGTAACCGGGGACTATTTCACCCCTACTACTACTAACACATATATCATAGCATCCTAGCACATAAAGCATATCAGATAGTGGCATACCAGACAATTATCACAAAGACAATCATCTAACAAACAACTCCTACTAGTGGGCCGACATTGTGGCCTTAGACCCACTTTTACTGGAAGGTAACTCACCTCAATGTCGTACAGTAAATGAACTGTCCTCGGTGTTGGGATCAACTCTCCTCAAAAATCTACACATAACATCTCTTTTAATTACTTTTTCAAACTTATAACCCCCTTAAGGGTCAATTCTGGGTAATGGTTAAAGTCAAAGTCAAAGTCAATGCCCTGGTCAAAGTCAACATCATGGTTGACTCAACTAGCCGAGTTGGTCCATCAACTCGTCGAGTTCCATAATTCAGAGAACCTCGAATCCGCGATCTAACTCATCGAGTTACCCTCTAACTCGACGGGTTTCTCCTTATAACAGAATCGGGACTTTCCATTTGAACTCGTCGATTCCTTCCTTGGACTCGTCGAGTTCTCCTTCATACAGGTCGGGACATTTGCTCATTGACTCGTCGAGTTCATCCTTGGACTCGTCGAGTTCTTGACCTTTAAGTCCATAAACACGTCTAACTGGTTGTATCATATTCTAGACTCAACAAGTTTGCTAAGTAACGGAGAAGGTTGGGGAACCACGACCCAACTCGCCGAGTCCTAAGAACGACTCGTCGAGTCCCCCATGATCCAAATCTATCCAGTCGATTTCAGTCGGGCTTAATGCATCCAAAACATAGATTTTGCCTCCTAGGGTCGATATAACACGTAAAGTTACAAAGTTTACGTTCATGAATGGGCTACATAGCTCAAAAAGCCCTAAAAAGTGGTTCATGGGATGCATGAGACTCCCATGGCCATAAAGTTGGCACCTTTATGCCATAGAGCCCCTCAAAGACTCTGGATATGAAGTTATTACCCCAAAACATGGTTTCATCCATGAATGCATCCAAAAATGGCTCCTTAAAGCCCTAAACTACACCAAGAAGAGATCTAGTAGATGAATGGACAGGGTATAGACTTTATACCTCAAATGAGATGGAAATGGAACACAAACTCCGGATCTACTTGCTTCCTCTCGAACTCCCAAGCTTCCTCTTCCTTCTCAAGCTTCAAAACCACCAAGAACACACAACAATGGCTCAAGAACACTCAAAATGGGCTAGGGTTTCGTGACTGATGTTTGGAGGTGATGGAGGCTAAAAGTTGAGGCCAGATAAAGTGTTTAAATACGGTGCAAACCCTAAAAATTAGGGTTTCATTATGGCAGCCCTACTCGTCGAGTCGAGGCTCTCGACTCGTCGAGTAGATTTCGAGTCCCGCGTCCAAATTTCTCCCATTCCTACTTGACGAGTTTGGGGCCTCCAACTCGTCGAGTCCCTTTGTAAAAATGCATAATTCTTATTTAAAATACGTACCAGGAACCGGGCATTACAGGTTCGATCCATGATAAGCAAGAGTACTCTCCCTTTATCCTTTTGGAATTATGCCTTACTCACCACACCCCGTGTCTTGAATATGGCACCAACTAAGAAGGTAGATAAGACACCTTATGAGATGTGGTATGGAAAAGCTCCATCCCTATTTATATGAAATTTTGGGGTTGTGACGCCTATGTTAGACAAGAGGCTTCCAGCAAACTCGAGCCTAGGTCTACCAAGTGCATCTTTGTAGGATATCCTAAAGATTGTATAGGATATTGTTGTGATATGTTCTTCGAGCTTAACGTCATCCCGGAATAGCTTCGCCTAGGTTAAGCCTGAGAATCACAACAAAGAAAGAACCGGCGTTAGTCATCGTCCGCGAGGTGGTCCCAAAACGAAGCTCCGACTGTCTAGTTAGTGGTCGTATGAGAGAATTAGGTTTAGGTATGGGATAGAGAATGAGGCGATCCCTTCTCTTGGAGAAGAAATGATCCTTTTATACCTGTTATCTTCTACATGTGATCCCAACATGATTTTTTGTCCCGTCTGGGCCAACAGGACGTGGAGGATTCCTATTGGCGGATCGTGCACCACTAGCAGTTATTTGCTATTGGTGCAGAACTAACAGAGGACAGCGCCTTGGGCGCTACACTTATCGCTATGGGGAGTGGCCAGTACTATTTTGTTGTTTTTAGACCGGAGTTTCTCGTTCTGAATTGGACCTTGGCGCTAGAGCGCCGGGGTCTAAGCGTGACGCCGCGAGGGTGAGGGCCCAGGCCTAATTACTTAAGATGGGTAGTGACCGTTAGCTAGGTCGTCCTTTAGATAACCATTTTGTTATCTTTGATGTATTCCTAGAGGGATACGTTAACAAGTACCCTAGGCTAGTAAAAGTCAGCGATAGCTTGGGATAGCTGAGTTGTTCTGGCTTAGATCATGACACGTGGTTGGTGGAGATGGTTCTGAAGTCCATTGATGTGACGGAGCCGTCTGCGCAAACGGTTTCATCATGGCAACTGTTCGATTTTCCTGCTTTGTATTTAAAACTTCCTTTATCGGGATCGGTTTTACTTTCTTTTTTCTACTTCCTCTTCTTCGATTGCCTCTACCTTCTCTTTGCTTATTTTCTCTTTCGTCTCGTCTTCGTTATTGGAAGGCAATGGCGTCCGCGTGATCTGGGAACGATCCAACACCAGAAGAGTTTGAATCCCTTCAGTTTCAGTTTGGGTTTATGCCATAGCACGATATGTAATTTCCGAAGGAAGGGCTATCATCTATCAACCACCGACAGGGAAGGTTGGAGTCCATGTGTCGATTTTCGAGGCAGTGTTGCGGTTGCATATATCCGATTTCTTTGATGAAGTCATGCATGAGTATGGATTCTCTATGGATGATCTTACTCCTAATACCGCCAATAAGATCGTCGGGTTCGAATTGGCCTGTCGGGCCTTGGGTGCTCTTTCCCAACTTCGGACTTTCCAGACTTTCTTCAATTTGTCCACCCAGTCTGGTGTACATAGTTTTTCTTAGCGGCGAAATACTCACGCGTTCATCGTTAATCAGAGAGCGCCCATGAAGAATTGGCAGGATCAGTGGTTGTGGGTTAACAACGACCTGGTTATCCTCGCGTGGTCATCTCCTCGGATTGAGCACCTCAACTGTCGGGTGTCAGTTTGTCTGTGGTTCAGGCGTTGAAGGGGATTTGCTTCAACGGAGAAGACTGGGAGGACTGCACCCAGGTGGCGGCAAGGATGAGCGCTGCTCGTTTTGTCGGTTCATGTTATACAACGTAATATTTGAGCTATAAACATTATTTAATCAATAGAATGTTATAATTTGTATTTTGATCTTTGTGTAATTATCATTCCATGTTTAGTGTTTGTTTCTTGATTCAGTTGGGGCAAGCCACTTACGATGTATTAACATAAAAAATGCAGTGGTTAAAATATACTTAAAATTGATATAATTTTTTTTGAAGTACTAAGCGATAGTGGATTAGATTGTTTTTTTAAGTTAATAGATTAGGTTTCTATGAGATTTTCTTAAAATAAAAAACTAAACAAGATTACAAAACAAATTTTATTTATTTTGTTCAAAGATTTTACAACCTAAACCACAATCAATTCCAAAATCGTTTCAAATCCCAATTCTTTCACAAATATAAAAATATTTTGACAAATTCAAATCCTCAAAAAAAAACCATCCAGCAATCCAATCGTCCTTAAAGTTCTGGTTTTAGTTGCAGGCCAAAGCCAACCGACCCCACCGAGTCCATGTCGATAAGCTCCGTATCATGATGCCACGATCCACCTGAGACGGCCGTTGACATTGAACGAACTGATTCTGATTCTGAGGTTCAAATGCGACAATTTCTCTCGGCAGGCCGGAATTTTAGCTCTTTCAATTTTGTCATCTTTCCATATTCTAATCGTCATTATTATATAGTGGATGGATTAGTCCCACATCACCTTCGGATTCTCTCTCCTCCTGTTTGCTTTATCTCATACACACGACCAATAAGGTAAAGCTATAACAAACCCTATTCATTCTAATTTTGTATCATCAGCGATTCAGGTTTATCTTATTTTGATCGAAATACATCTTCTTCCATCTCTTTACCTGATCAAAATACATCTTCTTAACAAGCGACGCGACGCGACTTAATATTAGGTTCGTTGATTTGCTTTTGACGTTTGATGTTTAAGGTTGATGAAATACGGTTGGTGAATTCATCGATGATCGTGATTACAATCGTATCGATATCGAAAGGCGGAATAACTTTACGTACCTCGTTCTTCGAGTTTTTTTTTATGATTCTTCAATTGAAAAAGATAAGAATCATATGATATACTTTTTTCTTTGATTATTTATCTCAAAGCATGCAAATAAACTTTATATATGCATCTACACACGCAATTAATCAATCGTTTCGTTCTGTTTATATTTCTTCGTGGAGTTATTGTGAATTACTTGTTTCTGTTTAGGATTTTAGGGTGGATCCTAGAATTGTTGAGCTTTCTGATTAGTAATTCGTATATTTCTTGCTTCAATTTAGGATTTTAGGGTTTTCTATGGCTTGATGATGAGTTTTGTGGCAGATAGGAGGCTTAAAGGGGCAGTTATATGGATGTAGATTATAGTAAACAGGCTGTTGGTGGGATTGCTGCCCCAAAAAAAAGATCAGTCACTGCTTTGAAAGATACTGCTGGCTCTCAAAATGGAAGTCCTCAATTCTGCAACCGAATTGGTTGCTGTGGCAGACTTAACCACACTAAACTTGCTAAAAACAAATGCCTAGAGAAACCAAAAGCTTCAAGTTCAAAGCCTTCCTTCCGTTCATCTTCTCTCAAGGAAGTTACAGGAAGTTCATCAAAGACTTGTTCTTCAGTCACCAATGTGAAAAAATCTCCATCAGAATCCGAGAAAAAGAAGATAGAAAGGATCCCTAAAGAATCAAGTAGTCTTCCAAAAGAGTCTGGAATTCAAGAACGTAAGTTGAAATCTAGAAACACTGAAGTTTCATCATCAAGCTCAAGGGTTAAGAAGGTTTACACTCAAAGTGGTTCCTCTGTGATGGAAAATAGTCAAAACGAGTCAAACAATGGCAGGAGGAGAAGATTCTTTCAAGGAGAAAGCAGTTCATCTGGTAAAGGGAAGAGAGTCATTGGGGTATCAGCAAATGAAGGACGCCCTGTTGTCTCTACTTCTGGAATTTCCATTTCTGACCCTAAAAACTCAAGAAACTGGACAGCTTGCAGAGCAAACAGTGTTTCATCAGTGAGGACAAAGAGGTCATTGAAGATGGACCCTTCAAAAGAGTCCATTGACTTATCATCGGTCAACTCTGCTGATGTGGTTTCTGATTCATCACATGCTGAAACTCTTTCATCTTCAGAAGAAACTTCTGTTACTTCTTCAGATCATCCTGTTGTCCGATTTGTGAATCAAAATGGAACACGAAGTTATAACATTGATGGGATTGCAGATGTAATTTCTCTCATTCTGTTCAAAAGACATTAATACCCTTGTGGTGTGTATGTATTAATAATCTTGTGTGGTGATTTGTAGGTACTATTGGCACTTGATAGGATTGAACAAAATGAGGAGTTAACATATGAGGTAATTAATTAGTCTTTAATCTCTATTGGAGGGTAAATTTGTAAATAGTTCTTGACCAATTTTTTTTTTTTATCTACAGCAATTACTCTCACTTGAAGCAAATTTATTCCTTGGTGGGCTTAACTTGTATGATCAACATAGGGACATGAGACTGGATATTGATAACATGTCATACGAGGTTTATTTTATTTTCTAATCTGTCCTTTCTATTTTTAGAAAATCTGTTTGTTTTATGGTTTTATGGGAAGCTTTTTTTTATTGTTACAGGAACTACTAGCACTTGAAGAGAAAATGGGTACAGTGAACACAGCATTATCTGAAGAAGAATTATCAAAATGCATTAGAAAAAGTGTGTACGAGTCTGATGAAAAAATGAGGCATAGTTTGGGTGCAGAGGACAACAAATGCAGTATTTGTCAGGTGATTATTATTATCTATTAATTTTGATGTAAAAAAGTTGAAACAATTGGTATTAAGGGTTACATAAAATGTGTTACAGGAGGAGTTTGTGAGAGGAGATGAAATAGGAAGATTGGGATGCAAACATGGTTACCATAATTCTTGTATAAACCAGTGGCTGGCATTAAAGAATTGGTGTCCAATTTGCAAGTCTTCACCAAAACCTTCTTCATCTTCTTCTCTTTTATAAAGAATCCGATATGATAATCGTACAAATCACATGTCATTTTAGTCTTTCATTTTCTTTTCATATGTACATACATTAAAACATAGATTTCTTTTTGGAAAAAAAAACATTAACCCAGGCTTCTTATATATAGCCTTGTGGACCCATTTCAGTGGAATTTACTTTCTCTTTATGAGCATTGTGGTTTATTTGTTACATATTGCTATTATCAGTAAAGAAATGAAAGTATGTTGCAAAGAAATGGAAGTTGTTGGTATTATAGGTAAAAGTTAATGTATGTTGTTTATATTGGTAGAAAGAGTAAAGTATTTTGTACCTATATTCAACTTACTTACATTTCACTACAAATATAAGCATTATGCTATTATTTGTAAATAAATGAAAATACATTGCTATTATAAGTAAGGAATTGTACGAACATTGTTGTTATGTGTAAAGGAAATGCAAGTGTGATGCGGTATTGGGTTACATATTGTTGTTATGTGTAAATAATATATATATATATATATATATATATTATATATATATATATATATATATATATATATATATATATATATATATGCACGTTGCTATTATGGGTAAAAACCGAAATACATTTCCTATATTGTTAAAAAGAGTAAAGTATGTTGATATTTCTTGCAAAAAAAAAATTCTTCGTTTAAATAAAAGGAATATCAATGTAGTTTCATTAATTTGTTGATTACAGCGTTCTACTTTCATTTCTTTAAATTACAATATTGTACTTAAAAATTCTATTCACTGTAGTAATGTCATCCGAATGCAAAGCAATTTTTAAGGCCATATTTTGGTAGATTTTTTAGACTATAATATGCCGTGACAAAAAAAAGGTGAAAGTATAATGATACGATTTGGTAGATTTTTTCAAAGTACAATAGCTTAATAACAAAGGTTTAAAAGTAGAACGTTATAATAGAAAATGAAAGTAGGATGTTATAATACACAAATAGATGAAAGTAGATTTGCCATGTGGTAGAATACCTACCTTTTTTTGTTTGAAAGTATGATTTTATAATACACAAATAGATAAAAGTACGATTTGGTAGGTTTGAAAGTAGAACGTTATAATAGAAAATGAAAGTAGGATGTTATAATTCACTATTTTTGCTGATGATAATAATAAGTTGTAGGGTAGAATAACTATCCTTTTTTTTCATGTCGATTTTTAGAGTACATAAAAGCTATGTGGCAAGATGAAAAGTGTATTTTAAGAGTGATAAAAGCAATGTATTTTCAGGATTGATGGTAGGGGTGTGCACCAAACCGCATAAATCGCCCGTACCGCACCGCACCGCATAATGCGGTTTAGAACTTTTGCGGTGCGGTTAACGGTTTGTTATATCGTTAAACCGCACTATGCGGTGCAGTTTGCGGTTTTCAATTACAAAGTCGCGGTTTAAACCGCACCGCAAATATATATATATATATATATATATATATATATATATATATATATATATCTATATATATATATATATATATATAAAAGAAAGTGTATTGTTTCATCACTAGGATTAATAAAATAGTAATAATCGTCTGATTACAAGTTCGTAACAGTTAGAATCTTATGTTAATTAGCCTAAAATTAGTGAATATAGTCATACAATAGGAATTAATTAACAAACGTACTACAGAAAGCAACTTGTTTTTGAGTTTTTTTGCAAAACATTTCTAGTTTCTAGTTTTATATCTCAAAAGATCGAAATGTTTTTTAGATTTTTCAAAAGTTATAAAATGTAGCAACTCATCAAACCGCAAAACCGCACTTAAATCGCACAAACCGTCCGCATCAAACCGCACCGCATAACGCGGTTTTGAACTTTTGCGGTGCGGTTTCAAAAAAACTCAAACCGCATATGCATTGCAGTTTGTAGTTTTGACTTTAAACCGCACCAAACGGCACCGCGTAGACCCCTAATCGATGGTATATAATTGTTGGGTTTAAAGGAAATTTAGATTGGTTTATAATTACCAACCTAGATGACTTGTTATATCTATTAATTTATACTTGATAATATGGGATATCTACAGAGAAGTTCTAATATTTTGGGCAAATTTTTAATAAAGTCATAAATTTTATTTTTTGAATAAAATAGTCCTGACTTTTTTACCTTTTGAATAGAAAAGCCCAAGAAACCGGCTAATTTATTCACTTTAGCCATTTTTGACCTGTTCAGTAGGTCATGGGACCAAATTGTTAATTTTTCGAAAATAATGGGACTTTTTTGCAAATTTCGTCAAAATTTTTACTTAATGTATAAACATATTTTTTACATATCTATATCTATTTTTACGTATTTGTGTATTTTTTATGTTTTTATATGTATATATTTACGTATTTTTATGTATTTTAAATGTATAAACATATTTTTTACTTATTTATATGTATTTTTAACCATTTTACATAATTTTTTATGTATTTTTATGTATTATGTATTTTTATGCATTTCTATGTATTTTTACGTATTTATGTATTTTTTAAAGCTTTTTATATAGATGTTTAAGTATTTTAAATGTATAATGTATTTTTGACGTATTTATATCTATTTTTAAGTATTTTACATATTTTTATGTATTACGTATTTATGTATTTTTTTTAAGTGTTTTATATAGATGTTTTTGTATATTTATGTATTTTAAATGTATAGACGTATTGTTTTATGTATTTATATGTATTTTTAAAGTATTTTACATATTTTTTTGTGTGTTTTATGTGTTTTTTATGTATTATGTATTTATATGTATTTTTGCGTATTTATGTATTTTTTTAGTTTTCTTATATAGATGTTTATGTATTTTTATGTATATTAAATGTTTAATTGTATTATTTTTATGTGTTTATATATTTTTTACGTAAAAATAACACAATTAAACATTTAATATACACAAAAATACATAAACATCAATATAAGAAAACTAAAAAAATACATAAATACGCAAAAATATACATAAATACATAATACCTAAAAAACACATAAAAACACAAAAAAGTTATGTAAAATACTTAAAAAATACATATAAATATGTAAAAAAAATACGTTTATGCATTTAAAATACATAAATATACAAAAACATCTATATAAAAATCTTTAAAAAAATACATAAATACGTAATACATAAAAAATATGTAAAATACTTAAAAATCGATATAAATACGTAAAAAATACGTTTATACACTTAAAATACATAAACATCTATATAAAATGCTTAAAAAAAATACATAAATACGTAAAAATATATAAAAATACATATAAATACATAATACATAAAAAATAACACATAAAAATACATAAAAAAAATATGTAAAATGGTTATAAATACATATAAATAAGTAAAAATATACGTTTATACATTTAAAATACATAAAAATACGTAAATATATACATATAAAAACATAAAAAATTCAAAATACGTAAAAATAGATATAGATATGCAAAAAATATGTTTATACATTACATAAAAATTTTGACGAAATTTGCAAAAAAGTCCCATTATTTTCGAAAAATTAACAATTTGGTCCAATGACCTGCTGAACATGTCAAAAAGGGCTAAAGTGAATAAATTAGTCGGTTTCTTGGGCTTTTCTGTTCAAAAGGTAAAAAAATCAGGACTTTTTTATTCAAAAAATAAAATTTAGGACTTTATTAAAAATTTGCTAAAAATATTGAGACTTTTCTGTAGATATCCCTTGATAATATTCCATGAGGAGTGAAGGTAGATTGTCATGTAGTTGTGTGGGCATACCTTTTAATATTTAGTAAGTTGGTGAATTCATGAAAACATTAATTTAATTAGATTACATTCATACAATATATATTACAAGTAAATAGTTAGTTGATAGGGTTGAATGTGCATCTATATCCTAAAAAGTTTTTCCAAAATTTATTGGACAACTAGATGAATGTGTGCATTTTGTATAATATAAATTAATATTAATAGATATATATCTTAAAAATAACTAATATATCGCTATTAACTATGATAATTATTCTTATACAAAAATAAAAAGTTTATACAAATTAGTTAATGTATTAATTAGACCAAAGGAGATCTATTATTAGAAATTAGAAGGCTGAAAGGGAAAAAAACTAATACTTTAATTATTTTCAATTTTGATAATGATGGATTTTTTTTAATTATTTTCAATTTTGATAATGTTGGATTTTTCAAATGATTATTTTTAATGTAATGTAATTTTCAGTTTTATATATATTTTTAGTTAAAGTTAAGTTTTGATTTAATATTTTCGTCAAGTATTTGTGTTATTTAAATTAAAAAAGAACTTTTGGAAAAAAAAATATTTAAGAAAATAGTATCAAGCCATTTTAGTAGTTTATTTGATATTTAGCACCATATTTAAATTAAAAACTTAAATACGATAGGTTGGAAATTAAAATTTTAGTATTATAATTAAATTAATAAATTCAAAATATTTATAAAAAAAATAGTCTAATTGATTACATATTAATAATTAACATGCTATCTTGAGAAGTATCATAAATTAAACATTTAATATGACAAAAGCCTTATATAAATAAAGTAAGTTTATGATAAATAATACATTACAACCATTTTACGAATAACTAACATGATGTATTTAAAGAAAAAAACTAAAAGGTGATACAAATATGTTATATATTAATGTATGAATTATTTAAAACAACAAGGTGTTGACCCGTTCGTGCGTTGCGACGGGACAACCATGTAGTTTTCAATTGCATAATTATGTGTCGATATAGCATCAATGATTATATTTTAAGCATTAGATTAACGTTGTTTGATATAAAAGTTGGTTAATGTACAAAATCACAAACAAATGATTTCCCAACATGAACAATCTATCTTATTAATAGATCAGAACGTTTTCATTTACTTACAATAGAAATCTCACTACAAATTCCTACACTACTCTCAAAAGATTACACTTAATAGACCAAGAACAGATCCAGATTATGAACATTCTCACAAGACTATAAAACCCTAACTTCGCAGATTGAGGTAAGAAGAACTTGAGAGAGAATGAACAGATACACTCCTTTTTTCTGAATGAACTCTTATCTATTTTTTCATTTTAATTACCTGACCCAAGTCTAAGTACCCTTGGAGTATCCAAACCCGGAATATGACCCAAATGTATAATCCTGCAATCATTTGAAATAATTTATCATACACAA